GGAAGGAACAAAGATGAGATTACATTAGGGAGTCTCGCAATGAGGTAGTTTCAGAGAATTAAATTCGAGGAGCTAGTTGTAATATCTCACTCCATTATATACAAATAACTAATATAAATCATGGTAATCAAAGAAATTAACTTAAAAAGTAATTACTAAGGTCTAGTTCAAAAGCAAGGGATCCCAAGTTTTTTATAATAACAAAGAGTTTAAAACAATCAAGATATCTTATATCAGAGTAAGAATAAGTTATGAAAGCATGAGATACCTCAGAGGAGTGCAAAAAATTAAAAACAAGTGAAAAACAACTCTTTTAATATGTGACAGAATAGTGTGTCAAGGCTTGTGCACATTGCACCGTGGCATGTTGCACAAAAATTCAGTAGATTCTACTATTATTTGACAGCAAAATTAGGGAACTTACAACCCATCCTAATTCTCCGTCCGACATCCAAATGACGTGATCTAGGTATTTATGAAAAACTCTTAACATGAACTAGCTAATAGCATGGGTTTTACTTTCAAAATAAGTCACACTAGGAAGTTAGATACCCAAATATATCTTAATCACTTTTCACAATTTTCACTCAAAATGGGTGTCCAAAACCTTTAACATGTGCCAAAAGCCTTTCCTAACACTTAGACCATATCCATTGGACTTAAAACTACTAGTACAACACATCACACACACTTTAACCATAGTATAATAAAAATAAATATGCTAATTCTTAGCCTCTTAAGCCTTCTCCCTCTCTGCACTAGAGCTAGAGCCTGAAAAGTGTTAAATGAAAGAAGTGAGTCTAGCCATTCGGTAACTAAGGTAAAACCTACCCTATGTAGTTATATATATCAATTTTAAAACAAGCACATGCATATGAAACCAAGCACTTAAAACATACTCATACATATTATAACTCATCATTTCTCATTTAATAGCTTCTTTATCTTACATATACTAGATGCATTGTCACTATATTATCATATATGTGACATAACCACTTATTCACACGACTTACCACAACTTAACACATGTGACACGTCATATATTTACTAGGCAATGATCAACAAACTTTATAACTTCCTTATTTCCTCATACTGAAATCATGGGCCATAACATTGAATAGGGCTTCGTTCGTGTGACTGGATTACCCAAGCTCACCAATTATGAGGCGTGACCAGGCCAAAGATTACCTAACCCACTCTCAGACAATGGCTTCCCCCATTCTCGAATCTTTGGGGTGTCTCATACCTTAGGCTATTCTCCTTATTAAATTGGTGGAGAAAGCTAGGTTTTAGTCCCTGGACAAACTATAAGACAGTCCCTCGATAAACTATTAGATAGGGCTATACTCCTGTATACCAAAAGGCAGCCTAAATACCATATAAATTTTCTCTACTCCTAATCCCTAGGCGAACTCCTACCCACTGATCATGCCATAAATAGTACTTACTCATTTTCACATTTTTATTTTTTTTACTCATTATCACAACAATCATGTTGGGCTCACGACCGTGTACTACCCAAGTTGTATCCTCATCATTTTCTCAACATTATTCTCACTTATCTCAAAATTCACTTCTCATTAGCACACAATTACCTTTACAAAACATCACATTTATTTTCTAAGAGCATAAGCATGTTCATAGTTCGAAAACCCTCTTAACTTCACATTTTACATTTGAAGCCAAAAATAGTATTATGAACATTCAAATTTTCATACACTCATTGAAACTAATACATGGTTTCACATTGAAAATCAATCCCATACATGTAACATTCACAATTCATATTTAACAATCAATTAACATATGACTACCCAAAGTAGGGTTCCTCGATTACCTTAAACCTTTTAAAGATCAAAGGTTTACCCCTTAATGTATAGCTTCTAAGCTTGAATTTTTAAGCCAAATGGGTGATCAAGAGCCAGAACTACAATCAATCAAGTTAAATTTTATTAACATTACCAACTCAAGCATTAAACCCTCAATCTCCACTTCTAAATTGTCCAATATTCACTCCACAAAAGTTTAAGCCTATCCCTTAGGTTTATTAATTACTTTTAGTCCCTAATAATATTAATGAACCATTAAATTTCCATTAATGGCATCACAATCTTTCAACCACCTATAACAAATGAAATTTTTGAATATTAATGGTGCCCAACAACCCAAGACACCAAAAATTTGTTATACTAGGTTTAGATACTCTAATATACTCCTATTAACTCCATTTGAATCAATAAATTTGAACCCATAATCCACATAGACCAAAATCCATTTCCATTATCACACCTTAACTATAAACTCATAAATGTGGAAGAAATGGGGAGATTAATGAGTGTGGTACTTACCTTGGGTGTTGTAGCCTCCAAAATACTCCCAATGTCATCCATAAGTAAACCCTAACAGAGCTTGGTACGTCTCTTCCATTCTCTCTTTTCTTTCTCTTTGTTTTTCTCATCAGTTTGCATATTATTTCTGCAGAATTCGCACCGTGCGCCGCAGCGCCTGTCCCCACGCACCATGGCATATGGTATAAAGAAGGAAGTTCTCACCTGATGGCTCTATGCATTATAGCTTATTGCACATGCACCGCGGCATGTGGCACAAAGGCTTTTTAGCTTGTTTTTCTCTACTTTTTGGTCCCTCAGTGACCCAATTTCACTTTGGACCTATATTATACTTGAAATTCTAACTAAAAACACTTATTAATCTCCTCTAACCATACATCACATTAACTTACTTAATTATCCATATCAATCTTAGTATATTAAGGAATTAAAAACTGAGATGTTACACTAGTTGATCCACATTTAGGGATTGATAAGCATAGTAAACAGAAATGAAAGGTGGCTATAATGAGAGAATTGGCATTCAGTGTTTGTGGATAAAGAATAAGATAAGACCTTCCATTGATGAGGTTTTAAAGATTTTGATGAAAATTCAAAGTCAGAAAAAAAGATTATGATGGTGCAGGAGAAGATGATGACAATTGTAGTGGTAGAATTTCAAAGAATAAAGAAGATATAGATGCACAATCCATAGTGGCTTCAATAAGCTTTGATCAAGCAATGTTGTTCAATCATTGTCTTTTACCAAATATTGTGACTGAGAAATGGACAAATGAATCAACTACTCATTTTAGTGTTTAATACTCCTCTGCTTTAATACTTCTCCTTTTTTTTTCATAAGTCACTTCTAATTCATCATGAAAAGTAGGGTGAGTTAGTTAGAATAATAAAATTGTCTTAAAAATAAATTACTTTTCAATTTGTCCATACTTTTTTAAAAAAAGAGTGATTTGCAGTGTTGGAAGAGTTTTCTTATAAATTAAAATATTGCACTACCTTTTAAAATTTGCTAGAAGGTTGTTTTGGAATTTTACAACAAATATTACAAAATCAAGACAAAATGATTTATATAAAGAACCAAGAAAACCTTTTAGAATATAATGTGACTATAACAAGGACTAGAGGGAGTATAAGGTATATAGAGGATCATTTATTATCCTTTTCCAGTTTTACCTTTGTTGTACATTTGATTTTATGACATATACATCTTTCTCTTCCTACTTTAATGGAGATAAATTGAATTATTTTTCATTTTAAAATATATTTAATTAGTTAACTATTAATTTGTCATTCATTGGCTTTGGTGAAGTAGTTGAAATTAATCTTTAGGCATGCTAGTTATTCATTGTCCAAGTTGTGCTGCTTTGATGCTTAGCTGTATCTTAGAGCGAAATATAGCAACTTCCCTTCTATTTTATTTTAATGAAATAGAGTTCCTTTCTATTTTTAAAACATATATAAACCTCTCTTGAAATAAAAATTTAGATAATACATACATCCTATCTATTTTAAAGATGTCATTTCCATACATTCAATCATTAATTAAGCATTAAATCATTTTCCACTAATCCTAGAATAAAAATTGGGTTGATGTTTATTTTTACATCTATTTTTTTTTTGAGGAGCACAGGGCACTACTCTATACCAATAAGTGGAGCAATTTTGCTCCTAAATTATTTTTTAGAGAGCAAAAAACTCCTTTCGTTAGTCACTTATTAACATTTTCATTTTTTACTGATGTGACATATGTGTGGGACTCATATATGATAACAAGTAGAATTCTAACTATGTTCTTTAGTGTTAATTTGCTTCTGAACTATTTTTTTTAGAGTGTTGGGCACCCCCAAATTTTGTTAAAATAAAATTTAATAAATATTGTCAGAATATTAAATATTTTAAATATTATTGTTTATAAATATTCATCTAATATTTATAGATTTTTTTAAATATTAATCACTCAAATTAGTTTTTTAAAAATTTATAGATGACTTATAATTGTGTGTAGATATTTATAAATAATAACCATGATATTTTGTAATAACTTACAGTAAATGACCTTATAAAAAATTAATATTAATTTAGTTTCTTAAATTTTTTAGATGTTTCTTTAAAAATTTTTATTAACTAGTTCAAAATATACAAATGTTTCATTCTATTCTATCCATATATGTTGTTATCTCTTACTTCTATGAGCATATATATATGAATCAAAAGGCAGCACATGTGTGTGGGGCTCATATATACATATCGAACGCAAAAAGTGATCATGCTTCTGTGGTAAGTAACATAACACATCATATTTTCCAAAAGTTCTAATGTGTTCCACGTCCACCACACGCTTTAATTATCAAACCTCTGACTCAGTCTTCCCTGCCCTTTGTCATTCAACCTTTCTGCTTAATTATTAAATCCTCTGCTTTAATTTTCCACATTTTACATTCACAATCTTTCATTCTTTTCTCACTTGTTTCCACTAATATTGTAATATTAGTGACCTAATAAGATTAATATTAATAAGAGTTTGTGAAGCATATTTCTTGGTCTTTGTCTTGTAGCCAAGTCAACTGCCGTGTCAATGACGATCGCTTGTGTGTTCCATGGAAGAACAGATTGCAACGCTTAATTCCCCAACAGGATAAAACCTTCAACTAAGTTATTACTCGAAACAATCATAGACTCAACTTATTTTCTCAATGTTTGAGGCTTTCAGAAGAATGGCTCTACCAGTTCATGTCTTCGTCGTCTTATTCTTCTTCTTCTTTGCTGATCTTGTGCTTTCCCTCTCTTCCTCTTCTTCCGTGGAGTGTCCAGATTTTATTGACTGTGGAAATCTGGGTAAGCTCAGTTTCCCTTTAACCGTTGCAGAACTCAAAGAGTGTGGAATATTGTCGATTCATGGTTGTGGAAACCACGATCAAAACACTAACAAAACTGTGCGCTTCGGTCAAAAGACTTTTGAATTCTAGGTGTTGTTTGTATGCCTATCAACTGTCAAATTAACTCTGCATATTTTTTACCGATCTAGTATAATTAACTCCAATGCTAATTAGTCCATTTGATATCTGCTTCTCTTAAATGTGATAGAAGATCAGAATAAAAGACAGACTTGGAAGCTCCCATTGATAATTGGTAATTGTACTTAATTTTTACTCATTTTCAATCAGCTATCTGCTTTTTCCCACAAGATTATTTAAGATCATGCATCACTGTATACACTATTTTAGCTTGTTACACAGTTGCAACTGAATTCACATCATGAGAGGTTTGCCAAGAGACAATAAAGATGATCTTTGAGTGAATATTTAATCAAACATACATTCCCTTTACACAAGCAAGAGTTGATATTGTTTGGTCAGGTTTTGGAGTGGGATTAGGGATTTGGTATTAGCATTGGTGTTCAGCTTCCGACTCTACCAACAAAAAGAGAATGCTCTATCACACGTTAGACTTCGATCAATGAATCACTACTCAAATGAGCCAGATCCAGACAGTGGCAGACTCTTCTTTGGAGTCCCAATCTTCTCCTATAATGAGCTTCAAGATGCAACCAAAAACTTTGACCCCTCCAACAAACTTGGAGATGGAGGCTTTGGCTCTGTTTACTATGGTCATCTTCTTTATCTCTCTCTTCCCATTTCCTATAATCTTGTATTTTCTTTTATAAACTTTAAAGCTATTTCATTTATAGGAAAACTTCAAGATGGGCGTGAAGTTGCAGTGAAAACACCTATTTAACCACAACTACAAGCGAGTAGAACAATTTATGACTGAAGTTGAAGTTCTCACTCGCTTGCGTCACAAGAACCTTGTCTCCCTCTATGGCTGCACTTCTCGTCAAAGTCGTGAGCTCCTTCTTGTCTATGAATACATCCCAAATGGCACTCTTGCTAGTCACCTTCGTGGACACTTTGCAAAACTTGCTTTGTTGACATGGACTAAGCGTATCAAAATTGCCATAGAAACTGCAAGTGCCTTGGCTTACCTTCATGCTTCCGGAATCATCAATCGTGATGTCAAAACCAACAACATTCTTCTCGACAACAATTTCTGTGTTAAGGTTGCGGATTTTGGACTTTCTAGATTATTCCCTGATGATGTGTCACATGTTTCTATAGCTCCTCAAGGAACACCAGGTTATCTTGACCCAGAGTATCATTTTGCTTCAGGCTAACTAATAAAAGTGATGTGTATAGCTTTGGAGTTGTGCTCATGGAGTTAATATCTTCTTTGCCAGTAGTTGACATGGGAAGGAATAAAGATGAGATTACATTAGGGAGTCTTGCAGTGAGGAAGATTCAAAAAAATGAATTGGAGGAGCTAATGGATCCATGTTTAGGAATTGAGAAAGATAGTGAACTGAAGAGGAAGGTGGTTGCGGTGGGCGAACTGGCATTTCAGTATTTGCAGATAAATAATGAGATGAGACCTTCCATTAATGAGGTTTTAGAGATTTTGAGGAAGATTGGGAGGGAATAAAAAGATGGTGAGGATTCTAGGGAAGGCAATGACAATAATGGTAATAGAATTCCAAAGAAGAAAGCAGATATAAATGCAGCACAACCCATGAGGGCTTCAATAAGCTTTGATCACGCATTGTTCTTCAAGTCATCCTCTTCACCAAATAGTGTTACTAAGAAATGGACAAGTGAATCTACTAATCCTAATTTGAGCGTTTAATAATCTTCATTGACCAAGTTTTGTTGCTTTAATGTTGATTTGGATTCCATGCGAGGAGCAATTCTTTGCACCTAATGTGCAATGACATGTGGTAAATTTACAAGCGTCAGATTAAATTAACGGTCAGAGGCAAAAGCACAAAGGAGTGAGATAGCGAGTGGGCATTTTCACTAAGTGTTATTAGGCTTGGAACTATTTCTTCCCCTCCCACTTTCTTGCTCTTAACGAATCCCAAAAAACCCAGTATCAGTTAAGTGTTATTAGGTTGTTCCTAGACAATTATTGAAATCACATTGTAAAGTACACAATAATTACTGAAAACATAGTATCTTATTAAGTAAACAACCCAGAATTCATCTAGACAGAGGAAGCTTGGAAATTGAAAAATTCAAAAGCATAGAAGAGTGAAGGAGCGTGCCATGCTAGTGAGTAAGTCTCACATGTTGTGAAATGAAAGAGGCAAAGGGTGAGATGACTCACTAAAATGAAGCAATGGGATCGAGGTGGGTGAAATAGAAACTCTTGTAAGCTTCAATGGGCCTAGTGTTCACACCTGGGGTTTAAGATAAGATTGTTCTTCTTTTTTTTTATTTTTTTTTAGATGGATGTGAAGAAAGTTAGAAGAGACTTTATGTTTGTGTACCGATCATTTAATTTGAATACATTCCACCTCATTCGCAAAAAGTAAAAAAGAAGGTTAGAAGAGAGTAAAGAATGCTTGGATGAAAAACTATCCAAAACAATTAATTGTTTATTATTTTTGGAATTTTTTTTTCTAGTATTCTTTTCTTATTTTCGTCCTATTTATCTCTATTCAAATCAAGCTTTATGTTGTGTTTGGATGGATAAAAAACATGGAAAGAAAGAAAATGTGAGGGGAAAACATGGGAGAAAACAATTTTTTTTTTCCTGTTTAGAATGAGGAAGAAAAAATCAGAGGAATAAAAAGTAAAGAAAAAAATGAGATGTAGAACCACCATTAATTATATTTTGGGAGGAAATTTGTTATTTTGTGTCTGCCCTTCTCTCTCCCACTTCTTCGATTTCACTCATCGTCTTTCAAGCTATTGCTTCTTTTTAGAGGACCACCTCTACTCATGATATTCTTCTTCCAACCACAGTAAAATATTTTTTTTTTTAATATTTGTTTTTCACCGTTTTTTCTCTCAATTTTTTTTCATGGATAGCAATTGTTTTAAAAATTATTATTTGGCTTGATTTTTAAACTAGAATGGTCAGTTTTGTGAGGAAATTTTTATTTTGTGTTTGCCTTTCTCTCTCCCACTTCTTTCTTTTCACTCATCGTCTTCCAAGCTGCTACTTCTTTTTAGAGGACACCTCCACCCATGGTATTCTTCCAAACACAATAATATTTTCTTTCTAATTTTTTCTTTTCTCCATTTTCTTTTCTCTCAATTATTTTTTCATGGATAGGAATCTTTTTTAAAATTATTATTTGGCTTGATTTTTAAACTTGAATTGGTCAGATTCTGATCTTTCATTTGGATTGTAATTGTAATTAGCCCTCAAGATCTTCCATGTCATAATTAGCATCTTTTCAATCTCTCATCGATCCGAAGCATTATACATGAAACACTTT